GAGTTTAGACAGATGGAGAATAAACAATCAGAGCTCAGACAGATGGAGGATAACTAAACAGAGTTTAGACAGATGGAGAATAAACAATCAGAGCTCAGACAGATGGAGGATAACCAATCAGAGCTCTGAGGCTGGCAGTGAAATCTTCGTCCCTGTCCAGGCACGTCGGACTTCGCCGAGCCGCCGTCGGGGACGCCGCTGCCGGCGCCGGCGCTGTCCTGGGTGTGGCTGGTGGACCTGGAGAGAACGGTGGCCTTGCTGGTGGGCCGCTGCCTGGGCGGGATGCTGCAGGGGGCCTCCACCTCGCTGGAGGAGCAGGACACCGCCTACTGGCTCAAGACGCCGCTGTTCAGCAATGGCCTGGAGATGGACATCCCCCAGTTAGGTACGGGCTGCTGACTCTGTGACCTCTGACCTTTTTCTGCCTCGTCACAGCCTGAAAAGTTGAACCCCTGCAGCCCCAAACGGCCCCACCCCACCAAACCTATGTGCCCCTAAATGCCCTAGATGTGTCCCCTTAAATGACCCCGATGTGCCCCCCAGATGTGTCCCCTTAAATGACCCAGATGTGCCCCCGAATGCCCCAGATGTGTCCCCTAAATGCCCCACGTGTGTCACCTGAAATGCCCCAGATGTGTCCCCCTGAAATGCCCCAGATGTGTCTCCTGAAATTACCCAGATGTGTCCCCCTAACTGCCCCAGATGTGCCCCTGAATGCCCCAGATGTAGCACCAAATGTGCCCCTGAATGCCCCAGATGTGCCCCTAATAGTGTTGTCACGATACTAACATTTTAAACTCGATACCGATACTCAGGAAAATACTCGATACTCGATACCATTTTCGATACCACAAGGATAAAAACAAAGACCCTAAAATTTAACTGAATTGTGTCTTTCATTTCAGACTGACCTGTTACTGATGTTATGGTGGCTGGTGGCCCACATTAATGACCCTAACCCTAACCCTAATCCTAACCCTAACCCTTCATAATAGTGAGAAATAAATATTTTTTGGTTAAACTTGTTTGGACTTATTGTACAAACCTATTTAACATCCACTATTTTAACATAATATTATGGATAGAGTTTAATTCAGTGTTTGCAAGATTCATTTCACTATTTTTAAATTAATGTCTATATTGCCATGAAGCAATTAGGATTTTCTTGCCTGGGCTCTTTCTATTGGTGACGTAATCAAAACGTCCGATTTGGATGTGGGCGGAGTTAAATATGTAATTGATTAAGGGTAGCATGTTATTATTAGCCATTAGCCGCAGCTAGCAAGGCTAACGTCACGTTAATGATCATAAACAACGTAAATAAATACATAAATAAATCAGAGAGAAGGGGCGCAGCGACGGCAGGTCAGCGTCGCGCGCTCGCGCGGCCTCGCGCGTTGGTATCGATACTTTAGAAAATTAGTATCGTATCCGGATACAACATTTTAGTATCGATACTTTTTCGAGTATCGATACTTTTGACAACCCTAGCCCCTAAATGCCCTAGATGTGTCCCCTTAAATGCGCCAGATGTGCCTTTAAATGCCCCAGATGTGCCTCCGAATGCCCCAGATGTTCCCCCTTAAATGCCCCAAGTGTTCCCTCTAAATGCCCCAGTTATACTGTCAGACATGCCCCAGTTGTACCGCCATGCGTACCCCAGATGTTCCCCTTAAATGCCCCAGATGTGTCCCCTTAAATGCCCCAGATGTGTCCCCCTAAATGCCCCGGATGTGTCTGTGAACTGCTGTGTGCTGAAGCGGGTCGCTGTGCCCTCAGACGGCTGCATCAGCTCCCTGCTGGAGGCGGCGCTGTCGGGGAACGAGGAGCAGAAGCCCTTCGACTGCCCGCTGCGAGCCGACCTCAGCATGCTGGTGGATTTGGCTCTGGGTTCCTCCAAAGAACCAGCCAACAACCTCTGGATCAACCTGCAGGACTTCGCCATGAGCAAAGGTCAGGTTGGGTCGGGTGTGGACCGGGTCGGTCTGGGCCGGTCCGGGTCGCCCTCTGGACTCTGGGTCTGAGCTGTGCTTGTGTTGCAGACTGGGACAACGCGTCGCTCAGCAACGAGTCCCTGCTGGACACCGTCTGCAGGTTTGTGCTGGCAGCTCTGCTGAAGCACACCGGACTGCTGGGCCAGGCCTGCGGGGAGGGCAGGTGAGGCCCACAATGAGGCTTAGACATGAAGCAGAGCCATGAGGGGAAGCCATGGCACCTCACAGCTCCTCTGGCTGCCCCTAATGGACCCCAGCCTGATGTCTAATCGTCCCCTCCAGGTACCAGCCCTCCAAGCCGCTGGCCGAAGTCTATCGCAGCGTTTACAAAGTCCGGAACCGGCTGCTGGCATGTAAGAACATGGACTTCATCCAGACCAGGTCTTCCTCTCGAGAGAGGAGGGTGAGTTCAGATTCCTCTTATTAGATTCCTCCTCTTCGTCTCATCGCTATCTGTGTTCCTGTGATGTTAAAACTCCAGTCTGTGGAAGCTCTGCAACCCAAATTATGTTTTTTAACTTAAACAGAATCGTTATGGTCATCAAAGCATTTTCTAATATTATGTTTAACTAAAAAATGGAAATAAAGCCAGCAGAGAACACCATAATTAATGATGAAGATTTCTGATTCTGCTTTTTTCCTGAGCAGAAAAGAGAGTTTTAGTGGCTGAATGTTCTCAGGAGCTCAGAGAGTTGCTGAGATTTGGGAGAAAAAACTGGAAAACTGGGTTTGAAATCCTGATTAACTGAAAATGGAGAAACACTGTGAAAAAATAACTAACAGAAAAATGGTAAAATAAGTCTACAAAGAGGTTAAAAATCATCACTGCTGGTTAAGACGTTTTATTTATTTTTTAAATCTTTTCCTTCCGCTGCATCAGTTTGTATAAACCACAGCAGTTTAGCTGCTCTGATGAAGTCGATTCTCTCCCTGAAAACGCGTTCAGAAACTGCTGAACCCACTGTTGTCCTGTTCTGCCTCAGATTTCAGACAACCAGGACTCTGTGGACATGGACCCCCAGGAGCACCTGTTCACGCGAACCATTGACGAAGAGGCCGAGCTGGAGGAGAGAGCTGACCGCGAGAGAGAAGAGGGCCATCAGGAGGAGGACGAGGAGGAGGACCGGGAGCACGAAGTGATGACGGCTGGAAGTAAGTGCCCCTCCGGCTGGATCCGCTCCAGGGACAGAACGGCTGAATGTGAGGCTGAATTCATATGCTGTCCCAGACCTATGAGGGTAAATGTTTGGCTAAGCCACCTGTTGTGGTTTTAGGGGGAGGGGGAGTATCTCAGGAAGGCTTCTGGGTTTTTCTGCCTAGATACCAGAGAAGAAGTGATATCCAAACTAGTAGCTTAGATACCAGAGAAGAAGTGATACCTAAACCAGTAGCTTAGATACTAGAGAATAAGAATTGATACCTAAACCAGTAGCTTAGATTCCATAGAAGAATTGATACCTAAACAAGTAGCTTGAATATCAGAGAGAACGAATTGATACCTAAACCAGTAGCTTAGATTCCATAGAAGAAGTGATACCTAAACCAGTAGCTTAGATTCCATAGAAGTGATACCTAAACCAGTAGCTTAGATTCCATAGAAGAAGTGATACCTAAACCAGTAGCTCAGATTTAATAGAAGAATTGATACCTAAACCATTAGCTTAGATAACAGAGAAGAAGAAGTAATACCTAAACCAGTATCTTAGATTCCATAGAAGAAGAAGCGATATCCAAACTAGTAGCACAGATACCAGAGAAGAAGAAGTGATACCTAAACCAGTAGTTTAAATACCAGAGAAGAATAACCGATACCTAAACCAGTAGTTTAAATACCAGAGAAGAAGAACTGATAACTAGACTAGATATCAGAGAATCTGGTATCTGTGCTACCAGATTCTGGTTTCTGAGCATGTGATTGTTTTTGTGTTTTTGTGTCGGCTTTCAGCTTCAGACTCCACCTCAGTGCCGCCTGCTTGACCTCTAACCCCAGCTCTTGTGTATGTGTGTGTGTGTGTGTGTGTGTGTGTGTGTGTGTTGTGTGTCTGTGTGTGCTCGTCGCACAACGCAGAAATCTTTCAATGTTTCCTCTCAGCGCGGGAGGTGGCGCGCAGCCGGGACCGGGAGCGGGCCAGCAGCAGCACGGGCCTGGGCTCCGGGTCGGGCTCCAGAACCGGCGCCGGCGGCGGGGAGGAGGACGGCGCTCTGTCCCAGGAGGGCCGGAGGGGCAGCGCCGGCCTGGCGGAGGGCCAGGACCTGTACACCGCCGCCTGCAACTCGGTGATCCACCGCTGCGCCCTGCTGGTGCTCGGCGTCAGCCCGGTTCTGGGAGAGCTGAGCAAGCAGAACCAGGACGAGGGCCAGAGCCAGTCAGTGGCCGGGACACAGGAGTGTCTGAGCTTCATGACCAGGTCAGAGCATACAGCCACCGGCCTCATTTAGAGCAGTGGTGCCCAACCCCCGATCCGGGGATCAGCGGCACCGGGCCGCCGGCCGCCCAAGTAATAATGAATATTTTCTGTTGTATTTATTCTCCGAGTGTGAATAATCTTTTATTTTCTCAAATCTTTTATTTTGAAAAATGACCGGATTCTCTTGGTTACATCTTGGTCACTCGAGCCCAAAAATTTAACAAAAAAGTTAGAAAAATTAGTAAAAAACTATCTTTGGAAAGTTTCTTTCCGAAGGGAAAAGGACTAATGAAGAGACAACGATTTTAACAGACAATACTAGGAGTTCTACTGGAAATATGGATCTATTGTGATAGACTGAGGCCACTCAGTGTAATTTATATATGAAATATATATAAATTTATCTAAAATATATACGGCGAGCAGATCTAATGAGGCGACAAAGCCACTTTGAGACCCAGCATCTTGGATTAAAAGACAAGCCCCTGGAGTATTTTGAAAGAAAAAATAAAGTTCCATACGAGTTCCACAGTGGATTTACGTTCATTATTATAGTCGCAATATAAACACCCCCTTCCTCCTTCCCGGTCCGCAGTTAGAAAAGGGTTGGGAACCACTGATTTAGGAGACTTTACCAAGGCAGGAGGGCCGAAAGCTGTTTGATCTGAGATTCAGAACACAGATTCAGATTCAAACAAAAGACCCAGGGGAACAGACGGGATTCAACTCATGTGGGAGCAGAAAGTCGGCCATTCAGCTTTTGCGTGTGAGCTGACGGTGTGTCTGTGCCGGCAGGAGCGAGAGCCTGAGCGCAGAGAGCCGCTCGGTGCAGAGCAGCCCGAGTTACCGACTCATGAAGTCCCGCAGCGAGTCGGACCTGTCGCAGCCGGAGTCGGACGAGGAGGGCTACAGCCTGGTGAGGCTCCCTCTGGATGAAGGCCCTAAAGCTGTACAGGCTCCTGTTTCCTGATAGCATGTAGCATCAGTGGATACTAACTGTGGAATCTGTGTTCCAGCTGGATGTTAAACCTCTGCTAGCATGTAGCATCAAGCTGAGTTCAGTGAGGAGCTGGATGTTATAGTTGAATGTTAAACCTTTAATAATAAACCCTTTATGTTAAAGTCTCTGCGAGCATGTTGCATTAAGCTAAGCTAACAGTGGAACTGGAGCTATAGTTGAACGTTAAATCCTTAATATTAAACCCTTAATGTTAAACCCTCTTCTAGCATTTTACATTCAGGCTAAGCTAAGAGTGGAACTGGAGTTATAGTTGAATGTTAAAGCCTTAATGTTGAGCCCTCTGCTAGCATGTAACATCTAAGCTAAGCTAACAGTGGAGCTGGATGTTAGAGCCTCTTTCTGGATGAAAGCAGACGGTGGATGTGTGAGCGGCTGCAGGCTGAAGCTGCCTCTGTGCTTTCAGAGCGGGCGGCGGAACGTGGACCTGGACCTGGCCTTCTCCCAGAAGAAGCGAGGTAACGCATGGGGGACGCGGCGGCTGAGGTGGGATGTTGGCCACCCTGGTTCACAGCTGGCTTTTCTCTCTGTCTCTGGTGCTTCTGTGGGTAGTTTATTTGCTGCTTTTGGGGCAGCTGAGTCCCAAACACAAGAGGAGCTCCAAGCAAGTAAACGATGGCATGTTTCCTCTTTTCATTCCTGTGACCGTAGAGGCTCCGCCCACATCCATCTGTCATGGCCAGGCGCGTTTTAACCCTCTGGAGTCGCTTTGAGGCGCCGGCGCATCCGGATTCTGTCTCCGTTTCGGATGTTATCCAGAGAGTGGATTCCAACTATGAACCGTTTTCTAGACGATTTAAAACAGCTGATGATCAATAATCTGTCATCAAGTATTGTTGATTATAATAATAATTATTATTATTATTATTCATGAGTTAAACCAGACCGATGATCAATTATCTTGTAGCTAGTATTATTGATTATAATTATTATTTTTATTTTTTGTTTTATTCTTTATTATTATTTATGAGTTAAACACGGATGATGCTCAGTAATCTGAGTATTATTGATTATAATAATAATATTTAGTATTATTCATAAATTAAACCAGACTCAATTATTATTTTTCTTCTTCTTATTATTATTATTATTATTAATCATTGTTGTTATTTATCATTATTCATAAGTTAAACCAGGGTGGTGATCAATAATTTATCAGCGAGAATGATTGATTATAATTATTGATTACAATAGCAGCTAATATTATTAGTCATGGGTTAAACCAGACTCATGATCAGTAATCAGGGGTATCAAACTCAGGGTCAGAGGCTTCATTGAACCAATGAAAACAGTAAAATCATCCAAACCTTTGTCTTTTATCAGACACATAAAGGTGCATTTGTCTTGTCTTGTTTGTGGCCCTTCTGAGGAAACTTGACAATTTTCTGTTATTGAACAAATCCAGTCAGAAAATGATGCAGCAGGCGAGAACAGGAACAAGTGATCTGAGTACAAAAACTGTGAACAGTTCATGTCGTTACAGTTTCTGCTCACTTTCCTACTTAAAACAATGGTTAAAACAACTCTTCCTGCTGGGATTTGATGTTTTTCATGCTGTTTTAGGTCCGTTAAAGCAGGAAGTCGGAGTGACAAAGTGGAAGGTTTTTGAAGGTGGAATTTAGGGAGGAAAATCGGTGGAATCCTCGACCCCAGAGGGTTAAATTCTCATGTGGTGAAGGGAGGCGGGGTTCTTCAGCTGGGAATGGTTCTGCTCATTCCTGCTGAAGAACGCGGCGCCGGGCGTGTTCGGCCCGGCTCAGAACATCTCAGAACCCATCCGGCTGACTTCCCAGCTGCTCTGCTCGGCTTCAGGCGGCGCCGCCTCCTCCTCCTCCTCCTCCTGCCGCCGCCGCCGCCCTCTGAAAGGCCGCTCTGCTCCCCCTCAGGCCTGCTCCACAGCTCGCCCGACTCCCTGGCCGAGTCCTGGTTCCGGGCCAAGCTGAGCCGGCAGCGCAGCTACGGCTCGGCCCAGTCCTACGACGAGCCCGACCTGGACCTGAGCCGCTCGCTGGGGGTCCACGCCCTCATCGACAACACGGTGAGCTTCATCAGCGGCGACGTGGGCCTGGCCCCCGCCTTCAGGGAGCCCGAGGAGAGCATGTCCACCAGCCCCCAGGCCACCATCCTGGCCATGGAGCAGCAGCAGAGCCGGGGGGAGGTGAGCTTCCACTCCCTGTGGGGCCTCGGCCTCAGAGGGAATTTAACTGCATGCTTTTAGTACCGCATCATATATATACAGTATAAATATATATATATATATATATACAGTATATAAATATATATATATATATATAGTAATCGTTTAAAAAAAAGTTTTTATTTTTTAAATGAAGAAAAGTAATTGAAAAATCCCTTTTTTCAGGTCTTTAGATGCAGGAAAGTCATTGAAAAATCACCTTTTTTTAGGTCTTTAGATGAAGGAAAATCCTTGTTGTGCTCAAAGAGCTCGGAAATCTGAGCGTTTCCATAATGTATCAGAGCTCCAGCTGTAACTCTGCTCTGCTTCCCTCCATCAGCAGCGATCTGCTCAGATAACGTGCACAGTCATTCAGGTTGCGACCCACTGTGGGAGCTCTGGAGGTTTCTGAGACTCAGAGACAGCTGCTGGACGGATGCTAACAGAGTTAGCTTCAGGCTAACAGAGCTAGCTTCAGGCTGAGAGCAGCAGATTGTGTTCTGACCCCCTGTGGGAGCTCTGATGGATCTTCCGTTTTAGGACCCGGTTGCCCTAACGCCCTGTTGTCCCTGCAGCTGAGGTTGGAGGCGCTCCATCAGATCGTGGTGTTGATCTCGGGGATGGAGGAGAAGGGCAGCCAGCCCCTGGGGGCCGACCGGTCCAGCAGCTCCTTCCAGTCCTCCTCCCTGCTGACCTCCGTCAGGCTGCAGTTCCTGGCCGGCTGCTTTGGGCTCGGCACCGTGGGCACCGGAGGGCTGAAGAGGGAGAGCGTGCAGCTGCATCACTACCAGGTAACCCTCTGTTCACTGAGCCTCACTGGTTACCCCCGGTTACCCCATGTAAAAAGAGCTTTAAAAGCCCCCAAAAACTGCCCTGATAACCCGGTACTATGATAACATGAACACGAGGCACCAGGCGGCCGGCTGGTGGCTCCGCTGGGGGGCTGCGGGTCTGATCACCTCTCTGTTTCTGCAGGACGGGATAAAAGCAGCCAAGCGGAGCCTCCAGATGGAGATCCAGACGGCCGTTCACAAGATCTACCAGCAGCTGTCTGTCACCTTGGAGAAAGCCCTGCAGGCCAACAAACACCACATCGGTAACAGAGCCGCTCCCACCTCCTCCAGGGAGGAGACAGGAGTATCCTGACCCCTCCTCCTGTCTCTGACTCCTGACTCCTGTCTCCTCTTCTTGTGTCCTGACTCCTGTCTCCTCCTGACTCCTGTCTCCCGTCTCCTCCTCTTCCTGTCTCCTGACTCCTGTCTCCTCCCTCAGAGGCTCAGCAGCGCCTCCTGCTGGTGACGGTCTTTGCCCTGAGTGTGCGCTACCAGCCGGTGGACGTGTCCCTGGCCATCTCCAGTGGGCTGCTGAACGTCCTGTCCCAGCTGTGCGGCACGGAGACGCTGCTCGGCCAATCTCTGCAGCTGCTGCAGAAACCCGGCGTGTCGCAGCTCAGCGCCGCCCTGAAGGTGGCGTCCACCCGGCTGCTGCAGATCCTGGCCATCAGCACAGGGTGAGCGCCGCCTCCTGACTCCTCCTGACTCCTCCTGACTCCTCCTCTCTCCTCCTGTCTCTTCCTCCTGTCCCTTCCTTCTGTCTCCTAACTCCTGTCTCCTGCTGCCTCTGCCTCCAGGACCTATGCAGACAAGCTAAGCCCGAAGGTGGTCCAGTCCCTGCTGGACCTGCTGTGCAGCCAGCTGAAGAACCTGCTGTCCCAGGCCGGGGTCTCGCTGCTGCCGGCCGGGAAGGACCAGGAGGATTCCAAGCAGGAGGACTCCTCCGACTCCGAGAAGAGAGACTTCAGGGGTGAGGCCTCCTCCAACCCTCTGCGAATGCAGAGCCCAAAGCCGGCAGCCGGACATGGCTTTAAACTCAGCAGTCTGAAAGCTAAACCAGAGCTTTGGAAAAGCTCAGGTCGTAAATGGGTTTTGTTTGAAAAGCAGCAGCTTTCCTCACCCTCTGCATCCTCTTCCTCAGCTCTGATCCGGAAGCAGCACACGGCGGAGCTCCACCTGGGAGACTTCCTGGTCTTCCTCAGGAGGGTGGTGTCCTCCAAAGCCATCCAGTCCAAGATGGCGTCCCCTAAGTGGACCGAGGTGCTGCTCAACATCGCCGCCCAGAAGTGCTGCTCAGGTAGGTGGCTCAGCAGCCGGTCAGCCGGTCTGCAGCCCCCCTGGCCTCCCAGACGCTGACCTCCACCCTCCTCACAGGGGTTCCTCTGGTGGGGAACCTGAGAACGCGACTCCTGGCCCTCCACGTCCTGGAGGCCGTGCTCCCCGCCTGCGAGGCCAACATGGAGGACGACCAGATGACCCAGGTGAGGCCTCGCCCGGGCTGCTGGCAGCACGGCTAACCTGATGGAGCACCGACCGCGTAGGGATCAGTTAAAGAGCAGAGAGCTGCTCCGTGTGTGACCTCAAGAAGAGCGAGCCGCAATGCTACCAATGCTAACACTATGCCATAGCTATCAATTATAACAGCGCTATCAATGCTATTAGCGCTATCAATGCTATCACTATGCCAATGCTATCAGTGCTATCAAACCTGGCAACCGGGTATCTCTGTGCTAGCATCATCCTTCACAGCCAACCCCTACGGCTGGGGACACCAGCCAGGAGTCAGCTCGTCTGTGTCTGAGAGAGCAGACACAGTTGATTTTTCTGAAGAAAAAACGCAAAGTGTAAAAGCTCCTCAGGATGTAGCAGAACATTAGATCGATTTGCAACTCGTCTGAAAGCGTTCAAGTCAAAGTCAGCTTCAATTCTGTAATACATACTCAGGCATATTCAGAATCTCAAGCTCACAGACAGCACAGCAAAAATAGAAATAAAACTAAGTCTTAATATAAGAAAACATTTAAAGAGCATATGTTATGAAATATATGCTCATGTGCAATTTCCAGTTAATTATTTTGCAATGGAAATTATTTGTTGTTTATTTTTCCTGTAAGAGTACTGCTTACCAAAGCTGAAACAACAAAACTGCAGTTTTTAACAATGTATGATCTCATTTGCTTTTAGTTATACAGCAAAACTTCTGCTTCTGATGCCTAAAAGTACGAATTTTCCAACATCCGAAGTGAAATTCGATCAAATATTCGACTCAAATATTTCCAACATGACGTCAAAGTCATAGAAAAAAAATTATATTAAAATTAAATAGAATAAATAAGCTAAGTTAGTTTAAAGTTCAGGTGGTGAAAGTCAGAGTAAATAGGGTACGTCCTGTATTTCACTCTCCACCTCTACCTCTGTTTTTTTTACATTTATTTCTTTTTCCATCTCATATAATGCAGTTGTTTTATTGCTATGTGTAATTATCTGCAGTATTTATAAAGGTGGTATGGTAGGTTTTTGGAATGAATTAAAGGAATTACAGTGAATTCTGATCGGAATATTTGAACCAATATTTTAGCATAGGAAGTCGCTCCTGGAACAAGTTAAACTCCTCCGAAGAGGTAATGGAGGTAATCAAACCGGTATGGAGGTGAGTGATGCCCAGGTTAAGCTGAGCTGTTTTCCAGGTGGTGGAGCGGCTCTTCTCCCTGCTGTCCGACTGTATGTGGGAGGCGCCGGTGGCCCAGGCCAAGCACGCCGCCCAGGTGAAGGAGAAGGTCCAGGAGCTGAAGCTGCAGGTGGGCGCCCCCCCCGGTAGCTGAAGGTGGAGCTGTGCTCCCCGGCCTGCCTCCCGTCAGAGAGGACTTTGTCTCAGACTGGGAAGGAAGGAACCTAGTGTCCCGTGACCTCTGACCCCTGACCTGCGGTTCGTCCACAGGGAGACGCTGAGGAGGAGGACGAGAACCTCCCCATCCAGGAGGTGTCCTTCGACCCGGAGAAGGCCCAGTGCTGCGTGGTGGAGAACGGCCAGGGGCTGACGCACGGCAGCGGGGGGAAGGGCTACGGCCTGGCCTCCAGCGGGGTGTCCTCCGGGTGCTACCAGTGGAAGGTGAGGGGGGGGCCACGGCCTGGGGGGGGAGGGGGGCTACGGCCTGGACTCCAGCGGGTGTCCTCTGGTGCTACCAGTGGAAGGTAGGGCGTGATCATGGCCTAGCTCAGGCCTCTGGGGGCTGATCGGGGTCTGGCCTCTGGGGGGGGCTCACCTCTCCTCTCTGTTCCAGTTCTACATCGTGAAGGAGAACCGGGGCAACGAGGGCACCTGTGTGGGGGTGTCGCGGTGGCCCGTGCACGACTTCAACCACCGCACCACCTCGGACATGTGGCTGTACCGGGCCTACAGCGGGAACCTGTACCACAACGGGGAGCAGACGCTGGCCCTCAGCAGCTTCACCCAGGGGGACTCCGTCACCTGCGTCCTGGACATGGAGGCCAGGACCATCTGCTTCGGAAAGAACGGGGAGGTGAGGAGCCGGAGGGCCACCACCACCGGTACCCCGGGTCAGACCAGGGCCCTGGACCAGACCAGGGCCCCGGATCAGACCAGGTCTGGGCAGATCCAGGCCCCTTTGGGCCTCTCTGGGCCTCAAAAGAGACCCAGATAGGTCCAGAGAGACTCAGATAAGTCCAGAGAGACCCAGAAACACCCAGATAGGTCCAGAGAGAAACCAGAGAGGCCTGGATATTTTCCTCTGCTGAGCTGACTCGTGTCTCCCCAGGAGCCGAAGCTGGCCTTTGAGGACGTGGACGCCACAGAGCTGTACCCCTGCGTGATGTTCTACAGCAGCAACCCAGGCGAGAAGGTCAGCTGCCCTCTTACCTGGTGCTCCCTCTGACCTGCTGCCCTCTGACTTGCTACCCTCTTACCTTCTGCCCTTTCTGACCTGCAGGTGAAGATCTGTGACATGCAGATGAGGGGGACTCCTCGGGACCTACTGCCCGGGGACCCGGTCTGCAGCCCCACGGCCACCGTGCTGGCGGAGGCCACCACGCAGCTGATCCGCATCCTGCACCGCACCGACCTGTGGACGCAGCGCATCAACCGCACCATGGTGGAGCGGCTGCACAAGATCAAGCCCTGCCTCCGGGAGGCGGCTGGCCCCGGCCAGCGGCTGAGGAAGAGCCGCTCGGTGCAGAGCCGCGAGGAGCACGACGGCCTGAGGGAGGGCCAGAGGGACCAGAAGGACCAGAAGGACGGGCAGAGGGACCAGAAGGACGGCCAGGAGACGCCAGGCCGTCCCGAGGAGGACCGGGGCCGCCACGGCCGGCAGCACGGGCTGAGCGAGCTGTCGGAGCTCAGCCTGAGGACGCTGTGCTCCGAGGTGTGGCCGGTGCTGGCCGTCATGGGGGGCGCCGACGCCGGGCTGCGAGTGGGCGGCCGCTGCGTGCACAAGCAGACCGGCCGGCACGCCACCCTGCTGGGCGTGGTCAAGGAGGGCAGCACCTCGGCCAAAGTGCAGTGGGACGAGGCCGAGATCACCATCAGGTACTGGGCCAAAAGGCCGTCAGCCGGTTAGAGGGTTAGCTGGGACACCGTTTAGCTGGTCAGTCAGTTAGCTGGTCAGCCATTAGCAAGTCAGCCAGTTAGCCAGTTAGCCTGTCAGCCTCTTAGACGGCCAGCCGGGCCGCCAGTTAGCCAGTCAGCCATTAGTCGGTTAGCTGGTCGGCCGGTTAGCCGCTAGCCAGTCAGACGTTAACCGATCAGCCGGTTAGCGGGGTAGCCGGTCAGACGTTAACCAGTCAGCCGGTTGATGTCTGACCGGTTAGCCGGGAAACTGGTTAGCCAGTTAGCCCATCGGCCGGTAAGACAGTCAGCTGGGTCGCCAGTTAGCCGGTGGGCTGGTTAGCCGTTAGTCGGTTAGCCGGTCAGCTGTTAGCCGGTTCACCTTTTAGCCGGTCAGCTGTTAATTGGTTAGCGGGTTAACCGGAGAGCCAGTTAGCCGGTCAGCCATTAGCCGGTTATCTGTTAGCCGGTCAGCCAGTTATCGGGTTAGCCGGGCCGCCGGTCAGCTAGTCAGCCGTTAATTGGTTAGTGTTAGCCAGTCAGCCAGTTAGCGGGTTAGCGATTAGCTAGTCAGCCGGTTCACCTGTTAGCCGGTCAGCCGTTAATCGGTTAGCCACTTCGCTAGTCAGCGAGTTAGCTGTTCAGCCAGTTGGCTGGTCAGCCAGAAGCAGCTTAGCTGAACCGCTCTCGAGCCGCCGCCTTTTTCTCCCCTGAACGGCTCTGTGAATGCTGAGCCTGAAGCCCCACCCCCTCCCTGAATGCTGAGCCTGAAGCCCCGCCCCGTCCCTGAATGCTGAGCCTGAAGCCCCGCCCCCTCCCTGAGCCGCCGTCGCCGCCTCTTTGCATGCTGGACCCGTCCTCTCCTGCCCTCTCCCTCACGTTGTGTCTCCTTCCCTTGTCTCCTTCCACCGTTGTCCTCCTATTAAAGCTTCCCAACTTTCTGGTCGCCTAGTGACACGCCGCTGTCCAACCTGGAGCCGTGCGAGCCGCTGCCCTTCGACGTGGGACGCCTGCGCGGCCTCACCGCCGCGCTGCTGCTGGACCTCACCTGCCTGACCAGCATCCACGAAGAGGCGGCCGCCAAGCTCAGCGCCCGCCGCCACGAGAAAAGGCACCGCAGCGCCGCGCCCGCCGGGCACGAGCACGCCACCGCCGAGGAGAGGGAGGCCGCCGGGGCGCCGCCCGCCGCCGAGCTGCGGGTGTCGCACAGCCTGGACGAGGTCAAGGCGCTGGCGGCGCCCCGGTCCGACGGCGAGACGGAGGCGCCGCCGGGCGCCACCGAGGGCGGCCGGAGGAAGGCCCACGAGCACGGCGCCCGCGGCCACGAGCCGGGCGCCGTCAGCACGCAGGCGGAGATCCACGCCGTGCAGCTGTCCTACCTCTACCTGGGCGCCATGAAGGCGCTCAGCGCCCTGCTGAGCTGCAGCAAGTACGCCGAGCTTCTGCTCATCCCCAAGGTAGGAGGCACTCCGCTGTCCCGCTGCCCCTGAATGCACCACAGAGAGGGAAACTCTGAGAATTAGTCTGTAAATGAGGGATTTTAGGCCTCTTTTAACCCAGGTGTTCCAGCTCTCCAGCCGCCCCTGAATGCACCACAGAGAGGGAAACTCTGAGAATTAGTCTGAAAGTCCATTTCCTGTCTATATGCAGGACCCATCACAGCCACTGCTGGGAATTAGGAATCCTCTCAGTCACGCTGCTTATTAAGTGGGAGAGACTAACTTTGGTATTTAAACATGTGACCAGTATGGTCCCAAACCAGTTTCTACTACCATGTAAAACCACCACTTACATTATGACAGACCACATTTAAGGTGGATCTTAACTTCCTGTTGTCATTTTGACAACTTTTCCCTGAAGCTCTTGCAGTTTTCTGCAGAGCACAGTTGGCCCTGACCCGGTCATTTGCCCCCCCGCCTCCGTGGTCCTCTGACTCCTCTGCTGCCTCCAGGTGCTACCGGAGGCGGCGCCCAGCGGCCACAACGCCGACCTGAACGCTGGCGGCCCGGCCGCCGCCACCTCGCCGGTGTGCCAGGAGGAGGTGGAGATGCGGGCCGCCCTGCAGTTCCTCATGCGCCACATGGTGAAGCGGGCAGTGATGCGCTCGCCCATCAAGCGGGCTCTGGGCCTGGCCGACCTGGAAAGGGCGCAGGCCATGATCTACAAGCTGGTGGTGAACGGGCTGATGGAGGAGCCCAGCGCCGGGAGGCCGAAGCCGGGTGAGCCACAACGCCTCCTGTTGCCATCAGACAGCCAGATTACAGCCAGTCCAGAAGTAGCAAAAACCAATTAGCAGAAAATGTATACAGTATAAACATTAGACGGATGTGTGTACATTTCAGAAATAAATATAAATATATGAATATATTTATATGTGTATAAATATTGCACATAGCAGGATAAAAACTATAGATATTTCATATTTTATGATAAAAAAACTGTAAATATTGCATATTGTAGGACAAAAACTGTAAATATTGGACATTGTAGGATAAAAGAAATAGTAAATATCGTGCATTGTAGGATTAAAAACTGTGAATATTTGACTTTTTATTCTTAAAAAAACATTCAATATTGCACATTTTAAGGTAAAAAGAATAGTAAATATTTCTCATTGTAGGATAAAAACAGTAAATATTGCACATAGCAGGATAAAAAACTATAGATATTTCATATTTTATGGTAAAAAAAAACAGTAAATATTGCCCATTGTAGGATAAAAATCTGTAAATACTGCAGATTTTAGGTTTTAAAAAAAAACTGTAAATATTGCAGATGCAGGCAGGGGCTCTAACTTAAGCTCCTTAAATGTGTTCCAGGGCCGAGGAGTGAGCCTGAGGCCGAGGGGGAGGGTGCAGAGGGCGAGCAGCTGGCCCAGACCCCCATCACCACCAGCCCCTCCGCCTCCAGCACCACCTCCTTCATGAGCTCCTCCCTGGAGGACACCACCACCGCCACCACGCCGGTCACAGACACCGAGACGGCGCCGGCCTCCGAGTCCCCGGGCGTCATGCCCCTCAGCCTCCTCAGGTGACCCCCCACCCCCACCAGCCGGCGGGCCCCCCCCTCCAGCCGGCGGCAACCCTCTGACCTCCTCTCTGTCCCCACAGGCAAATGTTCTCCAGCTACCCCACCACCAGCCTGGTGCCGGCGCGGCGAGCCCAGACCCCCCCGGTGGCGTCCCTGCCCACGTCCCCGTCCGACGAGGTGGGCCGCAGGCAGAGCCTCACCTCCCCCGACTCCCAGCCCACCAGGACCCAGAACCGAACCGGAACCTGTAGGTCAACGCGCCCCGCTCTCGGCCCGCACACAGCTGGTTCCGCCCGGTGTTTCACAGGGACGGCTTTCACTGCGACACCGCGCTTAGTGCAGGAAGTAGAACAGGAGAGAAACCAGAGAAATGCCTAAAGTCTGGGATTTGTAGTTTTGTAGTTTTAGTGATGTAATCTCTTATTTGAAGACATCTAATCCTGGTTCTGTAAACCCGGTTCCTCGGGGAGCCGGTGGGTTTTAATGGTTCTGTTAATGGTTTGTGCCCCCCAGCTCTGTCGGACCCCAGCAGCAGGCTGTCCACCTCCCCCCCCCCGCCGGCCATCGCCGTCCCTCTGCTGGAGATGGGCTTCTCCCTGCGGCAGATCACCAAGGCGCTGGAGGCCACCGGTCAGTGCAGCCGTCTGGGTTCTGTGGTTCTCTGGGCATAGTTGATTCTGAGGGCTCTGCAGGTTCTGCGGTTCTCTGGGTTTCTGCAGGTTCTGAAGGTCTCTGTAGGTTCTCTGTAGGTCTCTATGAATTCTCTTAGTTCTGTGGTTCAGTCCGTCTCTGCGGGTTCAGTGGTTCTTTGGGTATACTGGGTTCTCTGGGTTCTATGGTTCTGTCGGTTTTGTGGGTTGTGTGGTTCTGCGGGTTCTATGGGTTCAGCAGGTTCTCTGGGTTCTATGGGTTCTGTGGGTTCTGTAGGGTCTGTGGTTCTCTGGGTTCTCTGGGTTCTGCGGGTTCTCTTGGTTCTGTAGGGCCTGTGGTTCTTTGGGTTCCGTGGGTTCTTCGGGTTCTCTGGTTCTGAGGGTTCTCTTGGTTCTGTAGGTTCTGTGGTTCTCTGGGTTCTGCAGGTTGTCTGGGTTCTCTAGGTTCTGTTGGTTCTGTGGTTTGTGGGGGGTCTGGGTTCTTTGGGTTCTGGGTTCTGGGCCCGGCGGGTCAGCTGAGTACGGCTCTGTGGGTTCTGCAGGGGCTCGTGGGGAGGCCGACGCCCAGAACATCACCGTGCTGGCCATGTGGATGATAGAGCACCCGGGAACCGAGGACGAGCAGGACGAGCCGCACGCCAGGGCCGGCAGCGGCGGGGGGGGCGGGAGGGGCGGGGCCGAGTCCTCCTGTGGGGGCGCCATGGGCAAGTCTCTGGACCGGAACTCCTTCCTGTGCTCCCCTGGAGACATGGCCGGCGCCGACACCTCGGAGATGGAGGAGGGCTTCAGCGAGAGGTACCGGAGAGAAGGAAAGGGGGGAAGGAGAGGAGAGAAGAGAAGGGAAGTTGAGGAGAGAAGGGCAGGAGAGAAGGAAATAGGATAAAAACAAAATAGGATGGGAAGTAGGAAACAAAATGGGATGGGAAGAAGGAAAGGAGATAAGGAAATAAGATGGATATAAGGAAAGAATAGAAGGAAATAGGATGAGAAAAATGAAAGGAAAGAGAGGGAAATAGGGTGCGAATAAGGAAAGGAGCGGAGGAAAGAGGATGGGAAGAAGGAAAGGAGAGAATGAAATAGGAGAGGAAGAAGGAAAGGAGAGAAGGATAGTAGAGAAGGGAGGGTGAGAAGGAAAGAGGATGGGAAGAAGGAAGGAAGGAAAGAGGATGGGTAGAAGGGAAAGAAGGAAAGGGGAGAAGGAAATAGGATGGGAAGAAAGAAATAGGATTGGAAGTATGAATGAAAATGGGATGGGAAAAAGGAAAGGAGATGAGGAAAGAGGATGGGAAGAAGGAAAGGAGATAAGGAAATAGGATGGATATAAGTAAAGAGGAGAAGGAAATAGGATGAGAAGGATGAAAGGGTGCAAATAGGGAAAGGAGAGGAGGAAAGTGGATGAGAAGAAGGAAATGGGATGGAAAGAAGGGAAGGAGAGAAGGATAGTAGAGAAGGGAAGGTGAGAAGGAAAGAGGATGGGAAGAAGGAAGGAAGGCAAAAGGATGGGAATGTGGGAAATAGGATAGGAAGAAGGAAATAGAATGGGAAGTAGGAAAGAAAATGGGACGGGAAGAAGGAAAGGAGAGAAGGAAATAGAATGAGTATAAGGAAAGGAGAGAAGGAAATAGGATGGGAATAAGGAAAGGAGAG